ATTTATTTTTGAATTTTGTCTCAATCATTGGGACACCTTTTTTTTGGCAGAATTTATAAGTTTCCCTTCGTATTCCAATAATGTGGTCTGCGATTTTTGTTATCTCCTTTATTACCTTTGCTTCTGGTTTAGATAATGGACTTGGCAGGACGCCTCCTATGGGATGGAGTACTTGGAATTATGTAAATACTTGTTTTAATCTTTTGTTTTTCAATAAATACGCTATCAAAAAAATTTAAATTAAATATTTTAAAAAAGTTTCAATGTGGTGTTAATGAAAACCTGCTTAAAGAGGCCGCCGATGCTATGGTTGATTTAGGATTCTTGAAAGCTGGCTATAGATATTTAAATCTTGGTGAGTTTATTGATTCGATAATCCCAAACTAAATAAATGTTATATGTTATCATATTATTTTACGAATTCTTTTTGATTTACAGATGATTGTTGGGAAGGAACCAGAGATAAAAATGGGTATATCAATACCGATCCAAAAACGTAGGTTTTTTTTTATTTTTTTACCAAATTTTTGGCGTTTATTAATTTAAAATTTCCTCGCAATTAAGATTTCCTGGCGGTATTAAAGGTAATTTGTGCATTTTAAATATAGTATATCTTGGCAGATTTACATGAAACAATGTTGTACATGAATGTATAATTAACTTTGACCATATTTATTTAAGCCCTTTCGGATTATGCGCATTCAAAAGGATTATTATTTGGGATTTATAGTGATGCTGGACGTTTGACTTGTGCTAAGCGCATTGGATCTCTTGGTAATTTTTACTTTCAACAAATATCTGATTGTTTAAATGCAAGTAATTCATATATAATTATATAGGTTACGAGGATAAGGATGCACAAAGATTTGCTGAATGGGGGATAGACTTTCTAAAATATGATAATTGTCACAATGATGGTTCACCAGAGAGAATACGATATGAGGTATTTCATATTTTAATAGATTTATGTTTTAATGTTATACTAATATTTATGTCATTTATTAGAAAATGGGAAGGGCACTTAATGGTAAAATTCCGAATCTTATGACAATGTGAATAGAGATTATATAAAAAGATTATATAAAATTAACATGCTTTAACTTTATAGAGACTGGAAGGCCAATTTTCTATAGTATATGTGAATGGGGGTAAGGAAATTAAAATATCGCAATGTAGAAGTTAGTTTTCGGGTTGATGTTTTTTCAGAATCCGAAAACTTTCGTCTAAAGAATATAGATTGTACTAAAGCTAAACGTTTCGGCTAGACTATAACAATGTTATAAGGGAGAAGGGGTATTGTGATGAAGTTAAAATACTTTGTTTGTAGCCCGTGATACATTTATCAAAATTGAACAATTTTAGTATCATCTGATTCGTCTCATCGAGCCGAGTTGAAGATACCACAATTATTCATTTCTGATCACTGGGTCACAACATATTTTAATTTAAAAAGAAATTTTGGTCTTGGGTGTATTGTGGCGAATTGGAGATCATGTCCCGTCATCCGATTCTGATCACGGGAGCGTGAGATATCCCGATTCGTCATAATATTATTAGCTATAGTATTGTGCCGAAGGGGAGTATTATGACGAATTGGGATATCTCGTGATCTCATGATCAGAGTTGGGTAAAATTTGTACCATTCGATTCCTCTCACCGAGAAGAATCGAATGGTGCAAATTTTACCCGATTCTGACCATGAGATCACGAGATATCCCAATTCGTCATAATACTCCCCTTCGTCCACTTCCTCCTTATTAGTTGAGTCCCGAAACGTTTCGCCAGAGCAAAATTAAGCTTCATCAGGGTAAAAGTTCGGTTTAGTTCAAGCTACAAGCCAAAGTCACACTACTTATCCAAATTTTCATATTATCACATATTAGGAAAAGCAAACCTTTTCTTTGGGCTAAACAAGTTGGCAATAGGTATTTTTTCATTCCTCTAATAAGCTTATAATCACATTTAAACGCAATAAATAATAATCTTTTATATAAACTATAGCTGGAGGACGACTCTTGACATTAGAGCATCCTGGGCGTCTATTACATCAATTATACAAAGGCAACAAATGATTACTAAATATGCAGGACCAGGAGGCTGGAATGATCCTGATATGCTTCAAGTAGGTAATGGTTATCTTACTTTAGATGAACAAAAAAGTCATTTTGCTATATGGGCTGCTTTGAAAGCACCCTTAATACTTGGATTTGATGTAAGTTTCATTTTCATTAATTAAATTAATTAACCTATAAATGGGGTCGGGTTCAGTCACGTGACATAGAGCCAATAAAATTGTTTGTTTTGATCGACACTGACGAAGAAAAAAGAGTGAAAATACAAGAAACGGCTGTCTAAACCTACCTTGGGTCATTAATAAAAATGTCGGGGAGGCAATTTTACTATAACACCACCCTCGCCTTAACTCTACTCTAACCCTTACCCTAACTCTAATTAAAAAGTCAAAAACATATGACCGCACACGGCTTTAGACGTACCCTATAAATGTTAAGTTTTAGTAACCTGACATATGTGTTATATGTTTATAGATAAGAAATCCACCTGCGGATGCAATGGAATTGGTGTTAAATGAGGAAATAATAGCTGTGAACGTAGGTTTAGCTTATATCCTTTTTTTTTTTGTTTATTTTTAGTAGTATTATTAATCATCCAAGATAAATGTAATTCAATCATATGATAGCAAGATCCTCTTGGAATATCCGTGTCCATCGTTCATCGTACACTTTTTTATGATATCTGGACCGGACCACTAAGTGATGGTTACGTTGCAGGTATACTTGCAAAGATATAATGAATATATTAAATAATTAATTATTTTGTTATGTTTGACCTTTAATTAATACCTTTAACATTTTTCTAATAGTTCTGTTTAATCGTGGAGAAGTTCCACGAGTCATTACATTACATTTTGCATCTCATTGTAATCTTGAAGGTGAAATTATGGTTCGTGATCTTTGGGAACGTGCTGATAAAGGAGTTTTTAGAACAAGGTTTGTTTCCTTTATTATCAATTTTTTTTATTTTTATTTATCAATACAACTGTATTTTAATTCTTTAATAATATGATACAAACAATTCAGTTACTTCTCGAGAGTCCCAAGACATGGTGTAACGATTTTAAAGCTTACAGGTGGCATGCCAGTTAAAAATCACAATGAACCATTATTTTTACGACATATTTGGGATGATGATATTGTCGATATTGATGTTGATCTTATTGTTAACGGTGATAGTTATCAGACTTAGAATGATAAAGTGGATAACTTTAAGTTATTAAGATTAAATTTAAATGAATACAGTTAACTATGGTAATATAGGTGGTTAATAGTATAGAATAGGATTGTAAAGCTTTACAAACTGTAGCTTAATTTATAATAAAAATGGATATTTTGTAATACGTAAATTTTTTTTAAAAAAAAGACCAATATAACACGCGACGTATTCAAGATTTACAGCTTTACTGTACAAATAAAAGAGTTTTTATTGATTGTCGGAGAAAACATATAAGAAAAAAAAAATGAATAAAACACCATATAAGTAAAAAGAATAAATAATAAATAGTATGAAAATGAAATAGTTCAAAGCATATAATAAATACGTATATGAATTATGTAGAACAAGTGCAATTTGAATAATAAACATGACTAAGTAAAAAGAAAAAAAAAAGTATTAATGCCAACATAACCTTTGCTAATGATAAATGACTATATATAAAAATTTTATACAAATATTATGTGTTCATACTCAAAAATAAAATTTCAATACATTAAGATAAAAAACGAGATAATAATAGTTTATGTAAATGTTCAGATAACATAACACCAAAAGTTCTTAGAAACACATGAACTTGCTTCTCTTTGCCATAAGCTCTTCCATACGATTTTCTAATTGTCTTCTTGCTTTCTCCGCATTCTCTTTAGCCTTTCTTTCTTCTTCCAAAACAGTTTCTATAACTTTCTTTTCTTCTTGCACAGATGATTTTGCATTTTCATATTGTGCTGTAGTCTCATCTAATTGTGATCTCAATCGTTTAATCTGATCCACTAAATCCATTTTTTCCCGTTGTAATATTTGTAATTGTTGTTTTGCAACACGAAGATTCGTCTCACTTTCTGTTAATGAATTTTCCAACGTTTCAACAAGTTGT